AGGCAAATGGTAATAATTCATCCCAGTCAGCATTTTGTTCATCTAAATAATGTGATAGCATAGTCTTTAGTACACGGTGCATTCTTTCAATTACTCCATTTGTAGACGGACGATAAGGAGTAGTTTGAATCTTTTTAATACCCATCAAAATACAGATTTCCTTAAAAAGTTCTGACAGAAACTGTCTTCCACAGTCTGTTAACAAAGCTCTAGGCGTTCCATATCGTAGAATTATATTTTGTACAAATGTCTTAGCTACGGTGCTTGCTTTCATATCTGGCATTGGTATTGCTTCTGGATAGCGAGTCAGATAATCCATACATGTAAGGATATATCGATTGCCTGATGTTGTAACATTTAATGGTCCGACAATATCCATGGAAGCAAATCCCCACGGGCATGAAGGAACTGGCATATGTTGCATTTCTGTCTTTACCTTGCCAGAAGATTTTCTTGCTATGCATGAACTACAGCTTTCACAGTATTTTCGAATATCTGTAGTCATGCCCTTCCAATAAAAATCACGAGAAATATTCTCTAATGTTTTCTTTCTCCCTCCATGGGATGCTATTGGTGCATCGTGATAAAGTTCTATAATTTTCCTTCTTAATGTCCTTGGTACTAGCAATTGATCATATCGCTGTGAAGCAGTTCTCTCTTTATAAAATAGTCCTTTTCTTGATTTATAAAATCCCTCAATAGTAATTAACTTTTGAATATCTTTATCTTCACTTTGTAGTTCTTTTAATCTATCTAGATCGTATAAAATTGGAGTGCAATTGTCGTTAATATGTCTTAATGTTCTAACTAAACATGAAGATTCTTCTTCCTCTTCTTCATTTTTAACTGTTATTGGATCTAAGGGGTAATCTAATCTTGTTAGGGAATCAACGTGATTATGTTTACCTGGACGATATTCTATTGTAAATCGGTAATCTGTCAAGCTCATTGCCCATCTAGCTAGTCTAGAACTAGGATTTTTCATAGATAATAGATATTTTAAAGGTCGATGGTCAGTATAAATAGTAAAATGAACTCCTATTAAATAAATTCTGAAATAATTAATTGCCCATACCACTGCTAAACATTCTTTTTCAATGGTGCTATAATTCTTTTCGGCTCCTTTCAGACATCTGCTTGCGTACCACACAGGATGTTCGATGTCGTATTTTTGGGCAAGAATTGCTCCTAAAGATACATTTGAGGCATCAGTTACAAGAATAAATGGACGTTTAAAGTCTGGATACTTTAGTACTGGAGGTGTAATTAATGCTAGTTTCAATTGTTGGAAACTTAACTCGTGATCTTCTTTCCAGCAAAAATCCACATCTTTCTTTGTTAAGTTAACTAGAGGCCTAGATAATTTTGCAAAATTAGGCACGAATCGTCGATAGAAACCACAAAGTCCTAAAAATGCTCTAATCTCACGTGGATTTGTTGGTTGAGGGTACAATTCTATTGCTTTAGTTTTCTCAGGATCTACTTGGCATCCTTTTCCTGATATGATGTGTCCTAAATACTTTGCTTCTTTTACAAAAAACTGACATTTCGTTGGTTTAAACTGTAAATTAGCCTCTCATTCGTAAAAATACGTTTCTCAATCGATCTAAATGAATGGTTATATCTTCATTACTAAAAACAATTAAGTCATCCATATATACGAGACATTCAAGTCCTATCATTCCTGAGAATACGGTAGACATTAATCTTTGATAAGTTGCTGGTGAATTTGCCATACCCATTCCTAAACGTTTCCCAATGCCCGGTAGGTGTACTAAAGGCACTTTTCTCTTGGTCTTCTGGATATAAAGGTATTTGAAAGAAGCCCATTGCTAAGTCCAATACAGAAAATAAGCTTGATCTCGTGATGTGCTTTATATCTTGCGCAAAACTGTATTACTGTTTTCAAAATTTGTTTATGGTTACTGTGTTTACAAAATAACTCTTCATTCTAGTACCAAAATGCACAAATTTAAATACAGTGTGTACTTAAAACAAAAAAACTGGAAACAACGGAATCATCTTAAACACCTGTCAATCCTCTTTCAATTGTTTTAATTAAAAATAATCACCACCTGGAATATTTATAAAATAACTGCGATTTTGGCCTCTTTTTTTTACGGATATAACTAGATCTGTCAATCTACTAAAATTTATTATTCTATTTATTGATCTTGTCATTTACTGAAATAAATTCCTAAATTAATGACTAATAATTTCCAAAAATAAGTTAGTCACTAAACACCATTTTTACTGTTTTTATAACATTTCTAAAATTTAATGAAAAAAAAATTTTTTTTCATGAAAATAATGCACTTATCCATCACATTTTTTAACCGCCTTTTTTTTAACTGTATCTTTGATACTGACATTATGCAAATTTAAAATTTTAATTTCTACGTAACTCAGGATTTTCGTCGATTGCAATAACCCTACATAAGCAAGTATTTAGGAAGTAAAATTTACGCATTTTTCGCTCGATCGTAAAATAGTTCAATCTGACCTCATAAGCCATCCCACACATCCCGCACGCATTCACGTCACTTTGGAGTGTGGCTAATGTGTTAATTATGGTCATTAAAATCGTTCGCGCCAGGTCCGTACTCAAGTATTACCAGTCAAAAAACAAATTCTCGAAAATAACGCTCAAAAGTCCTTACCATTTCTTTTCTCTTTCTAAACAACAGTATTTCTCAACAATTATTGAATAAAATATTAAAAATTAAGTTTTTCAATTTTTCTAGAACGCACAATTCTCAAACAAACAAAAGCATATACATCCAGTTCAAAAACCAATCCTACCGACTGCGCCAAATTTTCTCCTATATGTGACGGGCTTGGGAGATTTTCAAAATTAACTTTTGTTAATTTATTATATATAAAACTGTAAAACTCTTGTCGTGGACCTTGTGCCCGACATATAGTGAAAATATTATTTATTTGTTCGTAGGCTGGTTCGTGATGATGGTAACACATTCTAGTGACTGGACAAAGGGACTACTTCAAGTATATGCATTTTGCTTAAATGAATAATTATATTTAATTTAGAAATGAGTATGTACAAAAGAGATTTAGTCATATGAGAATAATTTGGTATAACAATAAATTGTAGTGTAGTTTAATATGCAAATATAATTATCAGAAAATGAACTTCAGTATTAAAACATTTTTAAATAAATTCAAGAAAACCTTATAACTTTGAAACTAAATCTTTGAAAGCATAATAAAACAAACATTTAAAAAATATCTAAAACAAAAATATAAAAAAACTTAAAATTGGTACCATAACTCAAAATTTGGTAACAACTCAAACATTTATAACAACTCAAAAATTTGGTAAGGAACATTATAGTAGTTGCGTGGTCAGCGTTCATCAAACAATATAACTGTTTAACTAATAATTTCAATGCAAATTAATCTTTAAAAATAGATCTAAATCTCAAAACGTTATCCAATCGAGAATACAAAGGGCGATTTATCATCAAAATTAAATTGAACTTTAATAAAAACAAAACTTTGAACTTTTTATGAAATCGTGCACATTGTTGGAGATTTTAACACTTACCCCTTTGTGTCACAACACAAACACACACTAAACAGGCAACTGGCTAGAGGACTCTGGTCTTTTTTGGATCCTTCGATCTTTTATAAGTAAAGACCCCTCCAAAGGAGTTGTTTTCGCAAAATTGTTTACAAGTTACCAGTTTATTTGGGGAGTCGTAAAAGTATTTGTGTTTCCACCAAATTAGGCTTAATTAACTGTAATATGAAGATTTTTAGTGGCAAAATGTGCTTTTTGTTAAAATTAACAAATTTAAACCATGAAATTATAAAACTGGACAAAGACATCGTGTCCAGCCAAACGGCGCCAATATTTAACTGTGAAATTATAAACCTTGATTAGAATGGTGTGAAATCATAAAATCCAAGTTTCACAAGAACAACCTTGATTTTTACGACAATGACGATTGTTCTGATTCATACCAACATCTCCAAAAATAAGTAAATTTATCGCCCGTTACAATGGTATGGACATACGCAGGTTTGCTGACGTCACCTGGCTGTATTCAGGCGGGAAATTGAAATATTTACCGAGCCCAACTAAAGTCACTAGATCTACTATTACTTTTAGAAAGTACGGCAAACTGCCTGTGGTCGGAATTCGACAGAGAGGAACCTAACCTATGTGTTAAACAAAGATAGCGCGAGGCTAGTAATTTTCGCTATCTGTCAACGAAAGGTTGATGTGTTTACGATTTGAGGTTACGACAGACTGTACTAGAATTATTGAGTTAACGGACCGGAAAGAACACTATTCCAGTCCCAAAGTAACTCCAGCCCTATTCAACGAGAAAGTGTGACCGGTAACCAGCAAACAGTCGTGGAAGACGTGTTACCACCAAGGCAATTGACGGCCAAATGACAGTAACAGGATCGCCATACTGGTTAATAGTTGTGTATTAAATTATTGGTTTGTACTTACCAAATGTACGAGATTCTTTGTACAATTATTATTACTATTCACAATCAGTGTAAAAACAATTTGCAATGTTTCACAATTTTTATTCTGCAGAGTATCTTCGGCTGAAATATACATATTTTCTTATTATTTGCTATCATCCCCGCTATTTTTTTAACAACGCTAGGTCGCTAGCAAACCACCAATTTGTTTTTTCGCCTCCTGACATGTAAACAAAACATTCATACACCTTTGACATGCCGCGTAACAATGACTTTACGCACCAAATATCAATTTACCGTTGCTTTACCGCCTTTGGGTGCCAAAGTAATTCAATATGCATTAGCCTCTAGAAGCTGTAATAAAAAAAGTTCTGTATATATAATAAAAGAAAACATACTAGAATACTACTTTACATCATGTTTTGTTCGATCAAAACTTTTGAAATAGAAAAAATGAATTATTTAAAAAAAAAATCACATGGCGCCATCTCGTGGCTGTCGGTATTATAGATTCCTTCAGTAAACGTCAAGTCTAGAACACTGCCGGCTGTATTATATCCTGCCTGTTCATTTCCACAAAAATGCATTGAAAAAATTTTGCCGCAAGGGCGTGAGGGCAGCACTGGAGGGGCGCTTTTGACCTTGACAATTTTCAAACAAACTTCAAATTTGAAGGTTTATAAATAGGTTAAATCGGGTTAGGTTAAATGTTTTGAACAATTTATTAAACGGTTAAACGTTGAATCATACATCGTATCCTCTCTATGGTGCTAAATGGTTGAAAATTACAACAAAAAGGACTAGCAAAGGTGAAATTTTGCAAAAGGCACTTCTCGATTTCCCATTAACTGTTTCCCGAAAGGAATTCTACATCACCCCCTGTTCACGTTCCTCACCTTCAAAAGTTGTACAACTGTTTTCTTGTGTTCCCGACATTACTCCTCGCGTGTTGGTGACTATAAAAAGTTAGGTTATATTGGAAACAGCTTTTCCCGTTAAAGAGTGTATGAATTGGGAAATTTAACATTTTTTTTTGTAGCAAAAGGAAACATTTGAAGGTAAGGAACGTGATTAGGGGGTGGTGTAGAAGAATTGTAACCAAACAGTTTGTGTGAAATCGAGAAGTGCCTTTTGTAAAATTTCACCCTAATTAGCGCTGGAAGAATATAAAAAAACAGACAGGTATGTTTATAATTTTAATACTTTTCTTGAATGGGGTTTATGGGTCAAATTACTAAACAATGTAACATTTTCAGTTCTTGTATAACCAAAATTTGCAAAAATTGGTTTCAACACTTTAGATAATATTAAGTTTGCAACCATTACTTTGTGGTTTTTATCTTCACAAGGCAAAAAAGCTGAACTGGCAATTGGCTCCAATAACAAAGACTCCACCACAGTTCTTGGATGATGATTTACTGGTATATGTTCCAAAATATCAAATGTAATTTTTATAATTTTATTTATAAAATTTGTGAATGATCTTGTGGGATATTTTAATTTTCCTCTGTCTTGCAGATATATCAAGTCAAGCAACGGGGTAGATTTTGCGGTGGTTAGTAATGAATCTAAACAATTTTTGCATTCTAACCTTTCTTCAATTGTTCTACAAATATATCAAGATAAAAACGCAACTGATGCAGAGTTGATATCTGTGAAAATGGTATTAACGAATGTTAATTTATGAAGGTCACTAATTTCTTCAATTATACTGTCAGGTATATGTATATTTGTTTCTGTTGTAGATCTTTTAGAAGACTGAATTTGACCAATTTTACTCAGGTGATTACAGTGTGAATATACATTTGCTGATTCGGAAGTTGTTACTAAACCTGACTTAATTATTCGTTTAATAGCATAGTGTGCAGCCCTGGCATCAGTAGCGTCCTGAGAACCACCGCATAATCTGACATTGCTAAACATCGATTCAACTGCATCTGAGCTAAATGCTCGCGTCAAGACATAGAAAAAGCCACTCTCTTCAAGTAAATACTTGATACATTCTGCAGTGCTTTTGGCAGTGAATTTTACTGCTTCTGCAGTCTCTTTAGTCAATCCCGTCATTTTATTTGCCTTTGAACATAATTGAATGGAATCTATAAAAGCAGGTAAAGTTTTTAACATCCATAGAAGGCGTTCATCATTAATATCTGTATATGGAGCACTATTTTCATTTACTTGCCGGATGTGCTGAGTTTTGTCATTGACATCATGAATTTTAAAAAATGTGTGCATCATTTCCATAAACTTTAGAGTCTCTTCAACATCAACAAAACCTGGATTGTTATATTTTCCCAAATACTCTATTGCTGCTCTTACTTCTATGGAAAATACTTGCACAGCACGACGGACGTTCATCTTTTCTAAATTGGTTGGGCAAATATGCTTCCTGGTCAAAAACTTTACCGGTTTAACAATTAATTTGTGTTGCATATCATATATTTTCTTTAAAAATCGTGCAGAAATAATACCGTTACCAGAATGCATGTCATGGTCCAAAAATATGTTCCTCAAATTTTTAATAATATGACAGTAATCAAAGCTCATAAATAATGGTATTGTTGGTTCTATTGGATGTTGAATATGAGTCATTAAATTATTACTTGATGACAGAGATTTGAAAAGGGCCACATTTGACTTATGGTTATCTGTCACAATTCTTAAAACCGTAAATCCGCAATTATGTAAAAGTTTCATTACTTTTAACGTCAAATTCACAAAATCTATGTTTTTTAGAGTTCGATGGAAGAAATATCCGGCGGGTATCGTGTACTTAGTAGTCATGCCGTGAACAACGTAACATAACATTTTGTTGGCCAACGTTGGTTTTTTTCCAATTGTTTGACTACTCTCATTGGTAGTCTCTAACCCATAGAATTTGTCTTCTGTACGGCTGTAACACAGTTTTTCCTTGATGGACATGTCGTCAACAATTAAACTACAAATCCTTTCAACGGGTTGTAGCACTTCGGCTTCTGCTTTCAAGCGTGCCTCTATAAGTCCTGTAACATCTTGTCCATTTCCTATATACCGTTCTAAAGTACTTCGACTAGGTAATTTCAATATAGAAGCTTTACCATAGTTGTATCCCTTTGGGGATGAAATCCTCCAGGCAATACATGATCTTACAGTTACTTCTGACCATCTAGATTTTTGTTTGTTGTAATTTAATATTTGGTCTAATAGAAATGTGGCTTTTGGGTCGTTATTCTTAGCATCAGCTTTAATTTTTTCGAATATACGGGCTTGATTCGTTTGATTGTCAATTTTTAATTGCAGTTTTTGTAGCTGTTGATTTTTCAGTTTGTTCTGTTTGTCCAAACGGTTTACTTTCATTTTCAGTTTTTTGATTTCAAGTTTAAGTTTTGATATATCATCAAGACGAAGATCAGTATTGGAACTTAATGTTTGGGATTCATTATATAAGGACTCAGGTTCAGAAGGAATTGTTGAGTGACTTAAATCAGGATTCTACAATTTAAAAAAATAAAATTAAAATTTATTAACTGCCAATAAAATATTACTGGAGGTTCTTCTGTCGATGTTGGACACGTGGATGTTGATTGGGAGGGAGGAGATAATCTTGGAGTAACAGTACTCTAAAATAAATAATTATTAGAGGAAAGTTCTAAAAAAAGTGTGAAAATAGGTAGGAACTGAAAAATAATTTTACTCCTGACTTTAAATTACGTTATTAATGTACTGTTCGCTTATATTTTCACAGTTGTAAGGATTGTAATTACAGGAATAACGGATGATGAGGGCTTCATATTTATAGGAGTAGAAGACTGGGCAAGAGCAACGAAGGATTCGTGTAGGGATGCGTAATAAGCATCATCACCCTATAAAAACTATAATTTTATTTCTGTTAAGTTTAAAATGTAAATAAATATACATGAAAAACTGTTGGAACTGCATTTTTTTGCAAGCGTTTACTACCATTTGCTGCAAATTTAAAATCTGTGGGTTTAAAGTGCAAATTGCAAATGGTTGAGTACTGACTGACGATCTGCTGCGTTGGAGCTATAATAATTAATATTTAGTATTAAAAAAATAAGTGTTCAATAACCTTTTCTTACAACAAAACTTCTCTACTTTATGTAGCCATTTTTCTCTTAAGAGGGGCTCAGAGGGAAACTGATGGAAAGACTTTGAGTACTTGGCAGGGCACTGGGGCACAATGCATTTTTTGTGGAACCGCATTTTCGTCCCAGTAAAATTAACGTAACAACTTAAACTATGTAATAATAACGAACCACTAACTGAAGTTAAACGACCAAATAGGAACAAAACAACAAAAAACAAACACTAATTAAACTATGAAATAATAACGAAACACTAAACGAGTTGAAACGACAAAATGGGAACGAAACACCACAAAACAAATAAAAAAGGAACGAAAACTGCAAATCAAAAAGAAAAACAACGAACAATAACAAATGGACTTCACAAATAACTACTTTCAGCGCACTTAAAGATTCTCAAGAGAATTTTAATTTGAATGTCAGATTTGACACCAAAAAACAGTGAGTACCATCCAACCAACATAAAATAATAAAAATTCCTAAAATGCGCCCATCCGCTAGCGCCCTCACTAAAATCGGAGGATACAGTGGAACATGAGTGGAACTACAGTTATGAACAGGCCGTATCTAATGCAGCAGGTCGTGGTCTAGAAAGTCACTTCATTTATTTCCATTTCGAAAATTATTTTTAAAAACAAATATTTTTTAAAATAAAATCAATGTCGGCGAAAAAATTGAATACAATTTTCGTGCGTTAGGCATTTTGCAGGTTTCGGTCCCATGCCACCCTCCGCTTCGCGTCGGGTGGCAAATTAGGACCTCAACCTGCAAAATGTTACCTACCGCACTCATAATGTAAATAACTATTTACGCATCAGTTTGGTAACAATAAACAATAACCCTCATAACCACAAAAACTCATAACTGCCTCATAACCCTTAAAATTGATATTTGACATCAGATGTCAACACAGAAGTGGAAGGTCATTCATTCCACATGACGTCAGATAACGTTGCGCAGAAGAAGACGAGTTTTGGTTCATGGGATGTCCATACCATATTTACTTGTATCATGATGTGACCCATATTTTTGGCATTTTAAAAATTTCGCGCCACCTCTTAAAAGGCCGCCAACCGTTAAGTCTTAGCAGAGATAACAGAGATGTGACAGCTTTTGAATGCTCCATAAGAAATGCATGGGAGCGAAGTGAACACAGAATTTGACGTAAAGGACGGTTGGGGGCACAACATTTGTGGTGGTAAACCTGATATCCTAACATGTATGTTAAATGTTACTAAATATATTACTAGTAAAAGTGACATAACGAACGAAAACACGAACTCTGAGATAACCTCAATTAAATATGATGCGATGGTTTCAAATTATAAAAGAAAAGTCATGTTAACTGCATATGTATGTATGTATTTATTACAGTTACATACATTTTAACAAACAATATACTATTGGTAAGTACAGGAATAGTTCTATAAAAATAACATCGATAAGTAAACCGATGATTTTCTGCAGTTATAATTAATTATTAATCGATGGAACTGGCAAATGCTCTATAAATGGGACAAAATGATTCATTTCCTCTGTTTTTTAGGTTGCTTCTGTAGTTCCCTATTATGGAATTTCAATGTATAAAATATACGTAATCGCACAAATAATGACAAAAGGTAATCAAGGGGGAGATTACTACATGGATGCTATTAAGGCCAGCTGATTTTTAAGTTGTCTAGGAACTTGAAGCAAAAGTGTATTATGTTCAAATGAACTACTGAAGACATTTTCTAATTGTTCAATGTAATATGCAAACTGTTCATATGGAACATTAAGATTGCCATAAGATAAAGTTTCAGAATAGTGGGCTTGGAAACGACAATAATGTAGTCTCTAGAATTTCTGCCACATGCATTTGTATATTCACAGCATATCTGAGAAGAGTGTTTTAAGCATGCATCCACTGAGTATCCACATATTTATCGTAAGATATTTTGTTCAGCTAAATCAAACTCTTTGTACTCTATCCTATGTATTTTTAGGGCATTATGAGGTGGTTGGGAATTATTAATTATGGTGGTCTCACTTAAATTGGAGATATCTTCATTAGCAGATAAGAATTGTGGTGTGATCAGATGATTAAAACAGGACTTGCGTTCGTGGTGTATTTATTTTTTATGTTGTCGGTTCAGTATATAAGGGAAAAGTGTTAGAGTCTGTGATTTTGAAAATGAAAAAACAGGTCGGTAGAGAGCGGTGAAACGGTTGTGTCGAAAGGGTTCTTAGAAGGTACTCGAAATCTTCGAAGGATAAGAATTATTGGGAAGGGCGAACAAAAGATAGGTTTTACGACATGCAGGTGGACGAAGTGAGTGAAAGTTTCAGGGTGATAGTGGTTGGAAGTCAATAAATACAGACTATATACAAATATTACATGTTGCACAATTTTGTGGGATTTGTTAGCCCCCAGAAAATGTTGCTAAATCAAAAGCACAATTACCAGTTGGGTTGTGCTGCATATATTTTATACAGAACAATAGCTTGTATTTGCTTATATTTTAATAAAGTGTGATGCAAATAACTATTAATAATATGAGGATAAAAATAGTTTTATTAACACCCGCACAGAACTAAAAGTGACTAAAGTCATCTTCGCAATGAAAAGGTAACATTCAATATTGTAACTGTATTTGTACCCCTTAAAGTGTCGTCCTTGAATTTCAACGTTAGGTTGTAATAACAATCGTCGAATGGGCTAGAGGGTACTTTTATTATTATCTTCGCTATAAAATTGTACAGTTTGTGTTGTGTATGCACATTTTAGAGTTTTAAAGGATAAGAAAAGTTAATACAAGCATCTTGAGTAATTTAATGTTTTTTTTTATCCATTTACTATTAATCAGGATGTAAACATTACAAAAGCACCAACAAATGTTAGATGTAATATTTACAATCATTTTTCGAATAAACTTAATGATTGTAATTTTTTTAATCTTGTCTTTTTCCATTTATGAGGAACCTAGTATTTTTGGAAGAAAGATTAACCACTTTTGGTATATTCTTACGATTGGAAATATCCCTGGTAATCAAATAGCCGCGCTACGAAAGTTTCACTTCAATTTAAATAGCGCGCCCGAAAGTGACGGTTTGGGGCACAGTACGTAAGGACTATTGTCGCTTAATTTTGCGAGCTGTCATATCTCTATTATCTCTGGTCTTAGTGATTACAAGAATGCATCTGAGTGACAAGAAAATTACTGTTAGTTATTTCTAGCGATCTCGAATCCCTATAATAACAAACTGTAATTATTGCGGTTTTACCATTAGCATTTTTAGTTACAGTACAGTACAGTGGTCTGGTGCATAATCAGACTTAATTATAATAATAGAATGGTGAACAAATGTGAGTTCAGGACGTAATACACAACGATTGTCGTCACATCATCAGAAATAGTACTGACTTTGGTAGCTTATTTATTTAAAGTTGCTGCAGTATTTTCAACATTTTTCCTATGATTTTTCTGTTGTGTACAGAGTGCAGTGAGAAATGAAATGCAGTGGTACAATAATTATTGTGGTACGACCGTTTTTACTTATTAGTCTTCCAAGTGGTGAACGTGATTATTACATTAATAAGAGAACCTAAACTTTAGTGATCCGTAATTAATTTTAGGAAATTAAATGCAAAATGCAATGAAAGTACAGTAATGTTAATCGGAAATCTGGGAATAGGACTTTTTCTTCTAATAACTGTATGGATTCTGGCACTGGTAGTTTTTGTATTTGCCATCAAATTTCAGAATAATATTGCTTGGATTTCTCTAAGCATAGCAGGAACATTTACCATTATTTTGTTATTCATACCACTTGGTACACCTGTTCAAATTTCTGAAATACAAAGCAACTTGGTAAGTTGTTTTTTTTTTTTTTGTAAATGTTTAATGTACATATTTTATTATAGGATAAAGATCACATCTATATATACCAAGTTACACTTTTAGCATTACTAATATTAACTGCAGTCCTAGGATTTATATTCTTCTTTATTTTACATTGCATAGAACCAGTTCGATCTAAAACTGTCAAATTATTTTATATGTAAAATGTATTTTAAGTTGACTTCAAAATACATCAACACACAAATTAGAAATTATGTAAGAAATTTAAGCCTTTCATCACATTTGAACAGGCTTATCACCATAAAAAGCAATGATGAGTTTTTAAATAAGGTAATGAACTCTGAAAACCCTGTCATTGTAAACTTTCATGCCGAATGGTGTGAACCATGCCATATTTTAACTCCAAAAATGATGGAACTAGTGCAGCATCATGACAGTATTGATTTGGCAGTTGTAGATGTTGAACATCATGCTGAATTGGTTCACACTTTTGAGGTAAAAGCTGTGCCAGCTGTAATAGCTGTAAAAAATGGAGTGGTTGTTGATAAATTTATTGGACTTGTTAATAGTGACATGATAGAAAATCTTATAAATAAATTAGATAAGAAAAATACGTGAAATATGTAATAATATAATCAATGTAGTTTACAGCCGCAAAATAAATTATTTTAACTGGCATCTTCTTTTTTGCAGTGTTTCTTACGAGAACGTTGAATTTTATGTTCCAAACTGTCTAAAAATTAAAGTTCAGTATCAACAATTTAATTTGAAAGGTACAAAAGCACTTACCACATCTCTGTCTCTTCATGACAGGTATATAATTTCTTGGTTTTATACCTGGTATGAGGCAATCATTATTTTGGTGACATGGATCAGCATGTTTTTTTAAATCCAATAGCATACTTTTCATCATAGTGGTTCTGGAACACAACAGTTGTTTAGATTCAAAGCTATATGGACGATTTTTTTTTAAATCATACTGGAGCTTTCCACTCATATGTTCAGAGGAATAATGCAAGAAGACATCCAACAAGAGGAGGTACATATTTTTATACCTTTCTATTTGTTTTTCCGGTTTTTGGAAAAGAGCTATAAAAATGTATATTTATTAAATTTGTACACATTAAATAAATAAAAAAAAACTTGAAGAGTGTAAAACAAAATACGTGATTCAATTCAGACCTTTTATTTTAAACTAAAACAATTAATTCTTTAATGCGATGGTACCAAGGGAGGATTGGATGGAGGCCCTAAATTATTTTTTTTTTGCGATACCTTCGTTATCAGAGAAATAGTATAGGTGGACTAGCGGAATTAGGTGTTTGCAATTAATAGGTGTGTTAATCGAATTCCATTTCTAACGTAAAAGCGAAAATAGCACATTGACATACTTCCGCAGAAAAAAAGACCAGACGAAACTACATATTAAAAAAAAAAAATTGGTCTAACGAGTTTACACAGTACCTACTTAGAACCGTGACTCCACTCCTACAATGGTTTCTTTTCACCGGTAAAATTGTAAGATCAGGTCGTTAATTTTTGAGAGCGCCATAAACGGATCAATTTTGATTAAAGATTTACCATTCTGATAACCGTAAAATGTTTCTAAGATTTCAAAGCATTTGGTTTTGCAATTTCAAAGTTGAATTGTAAAATATTGTTATATCATTTTAGAAGTCCGTCTACTTTTACGTTTTCTCGACCTTTCATGACCCCTAACCTAGAGTACGAAGAGATAGTTCTCCTGTTTCCGTCCGTCCGTCTGCCGTCTCCGGATTTTTATTAGACGGATAATCTGCGAAAGTACTGGGCTGATTGTTGTCACATTTCATATGTGTATTGTGAATATCATATCATGTACATGGTAAAACACTTACCAACATTTTTCCAATCATCCCCACCAATAATGTGATGACGTCACTCCAAAATTGTACATAGTAAATCAGTAACTCCACACGAAATGAGCCGGAGTGAATAAAAAATGAAATAAGTTCCACAAATATGAGAATGTTGAAAATCAGAAGTTTAAAGTCTTAATCATTCCGAGATAATATTTTTTTCTAAAAAAAAAAATACCTGTTAATGTAAAATATTTATTCTTTTTTAAACCATACTCATGCTAACACTTTTATTAGCTCTTTGTGTTTGGTTTGATTCAATTGTATTTTCTCTAGAACTAGATCTCTATGGATCAAGAAACAAAATGCAAACTGTTTGTTTTTACAACTGTGTGAGTAATACCCAAAAAGGTAACCTTTCTCAAGTCAAAAATGTTAAAATATTAAAACGTTAATAAAATTGTTCTTCTTGTGATATAATTTTATTTTAATATGCCAGTTCTACTATAATTTTTAACATTCCAGATATGTAAGTCGCAGCCGTTACACTATTTAAAGTGATGCAGTGTAAAATTGCATGGGTTATTCCAAGTAATTTATGACCAAAAACTGTTACCAAGTCTTCGTTAGTTTGTGCATTGAAGGAAAAGCAAAAATGGTTTTGAAATTCGCAGAAATAGTAAAATTTGTCTTTAAAACATTATACTCAATTTTCTACGAATCACACCCGTTACGCCATATTTTGTTTTCTCAGTCTCTTACCCATTATTGTATCTCGTCAATTTTTTTATAAATAATTCTTGACACTGTAATCTACATGCTGCCAATGGTATTTGTTCTAAAATATCTCTGATTTAAAAGAAAAAGGAAAAAATGTCCACATTCTGTCACAGCCGTGACATATGGAGTTCCTGAAATGGGTTTTAAATTATGTAAAATAACATAGTCCTACACATGTAGTTTATGACTCCGTCTTGAGTTTTTACCCGAAATGGTCAGGTTTTAGAAAAAAAAAAAATTGAAAACCACATTTTGCAATTTAATTTTGAACCGCAAAACTAAATGCTTTGAAATCTTGCAGATGTTTTAAAGACATGATAAGCATAATAAATTATTAACTAAAATATACTTGCTTATGCCCCCCAAAAAATGTATGTTATTTTTAATATTACACTGCACCAATCCGAGTTGATATGTGTCCTTTTAAAAATGTTGATGAGGTCATTACAAAATTGTGTAAAGTAAAATTCATTTGAAACATATGCGTAGCACGCTTTTTTATATTTACTTTAAGATTATGTATACATCTTTATTTTTACGTATGGGTTCTCGTAAAAAAAAAAAAAAAATAAAAATCGCAACATCAAATTTTATAGTTTTTCGAAAGTGCTGGATATGTTCCATTATACTTTATGTGCGAGGGAAGTTTTGTCGAAATGACTTTCGACTAGCTTTTTGTTGTAATTTTAAATAACACAGTCGAACAATTTTAGAAAAAATTCTTGTTACAAGCATTCTGAAAGGTTATTTTGTGCTGAATCTAATAAGACATTATGCCTATGTCGTCAAAAAAATTTTTTTTTTGGAGATTGTTCATAGATAGTTCCAGTTAAAGGTGTACTATAGCATAATGGGAATAAATATTTAGTACTGCCGAGTATATACTCCATACAAACTGCAGAAACATATGAGAATATTCAACACTTGTTAAACTGTATTAACGACAAAAAATTTGAGGGCAATTTGATAGGCGATTTAAAAATTGTAGCTTTAGTAACTGGCTTCGAATCTGGATATACCAATCATATGTGCTTCTTATGCAAGTGAAATACAAGAGAGAAAGCATTTAAACATCTGAAAACAATATTTCCTAAGCTTTCTGCTGCTAACATAAACCAAGATGAAAACTAAAAGATTACAATGAATTTCAGTTTTCATATTATGTACGTTTTCTACATTTAGGATGTTCGATTTGAATGATACGGAAAAATTTACTTGGGAATCAATTAGTTTAGTGATCAGTGAATTTTTAGGAAACAAACGTTCCACAAATTATGTCTCATTTAAATTTCTTTGCTGATAATCTTTTGATCGAGAATCAAGAAAGTCGAAGGAAGATTTAAGACAAAGACCCAAGTATCCATTTTTTCCGAATACATGAGGCTTTTATAAAGAGTTAGATCCTTCTACATATTCTAGGCAGGTTAAATATTCGTAGACATAATTACATATTTGTCGACAGAAATCTGTGGAACATTTTTTTAGTGCTTCTTGCGCGTTTTTCTATGTAAAATTAGAATTCACTGCATTTTTTCTAATTGTTCACCGGACGACAATCAAAATTTGAAAATTTTTTTTTGACGACATGGGTATATTATCTCTTTTAAGAGTTGTTCAGCACAAAATTCCCTTTCCGACCAAGTTTAGAAAATATATGTAACAAAAACATTGTTCTACTGTGTAATTAGTGTGTATAAATAAGTAAGGCTTTGCGCCAACCCTTCCGAGATTGATTAAAATAATAGTGATTTAAGGACTGTGGTACTAGTGAGTGACTCCCTGCCCTCGAGCAGCGAAAAGGTAAGCTTCGAGAGGTAAGAGAATTCCCATTTTCTGTGATGTGCCATTGGCACTTTTCAGATAGAAGATCATATAAATTCACGCTAGCCATTTATTTTTTAAACCAAATATTATTTCTAATCAACTCACGCCCCACCCTTGCTAGGTTAGTTACAATCTGAAATATGTTTATTAAAATATTGAGATGATGTCATCAAATAGTAAGCGAAGAATAATTATCTCAGGCGGTGTGGGATTCGCAACTACGTCTTCCCATGTGCCGGGCGAATGTTCTGACTACTAAGCTATACCGTCGTGATTATTTCTCCTTGCGTACCACGGTTATATGGTGCCACCACACTTATAATATCTGCTTACAAAATAAACAAACAGAAGTTAACCTCATATATTATTAGTAACATTCACCCGACAGAAAGTGAGTTTATTATCGTAGAAAACCACCAAAGACAAGTACTTTTTTTGGATTAAATAAATTTTTATTTTTGGTGCAATTAAAAGCAAAAGTATTGTTATAAATTATTGTAAGTAAAAATGAATCGAACGAGAAAGCGTAACCCCCTGGGCCAAAACCCAAAGAGTACCTACGAAAAACGCACAGAAATTAACTTTCGTGACGTACTCGTAAAAATTTCACTCCACAACTTTGTGCTAAAATTTATTAAAAATGAATAAGTAAAAGTTATCAAATACTGAAAAAATATATCAAAATACACTCCTCAAAAAAATTAACGCAACATTTCAAATTTGTTAATAACTGAAAAAATTAAAAAAAGATACTAAAAAACATGCCTTATGATTAGTTAGAACGAATTTTGTTTCATCTACACAAAAAAAAGTTCCTTATCATTTGTAACTGGTGGATCTATTAAAAGAAGGAAAGTATCTTATCATGGTACCCTTATACCCAATTCTAAATCACATGTTTGTGAAATGTTTGAAGTGAAAACGTCATTTTCGCTTATAATGAATGTTCCTAATCGCATTACGCGTAATTTATCGAAGAAGCGGCCATCCGGGCTGTAGCTTTGGTTAGACCCAACGCTATGTGGTCAATCTGTTGGGCGTTGATCGTTCGACCATTTCTAAACTAATGCAAAAGTATCGTACTACTGGAAGCATGAATAGAAGACTAGGACAAGGTCGTAAACGGAAAACATTACAACGAGACGACCGATTTTTTGCGCTTAACAGTACTCAGGTCGCGACACTGCACAGCAAGAATGCTCCAAAAAGAGATTTTAGCTGCCCGCGATGTGGTGCTGAGTACTCAAACGGTACGAAATCGTTTGCGTCCAAGCGTACCTACCAAAACACCCTTGCTCACCAGGGCGCACAAGGTAGCGCGTTTAAACTTTGCGCTAAATCATCAGCATTGGAATGTCGAGGATTTGAGCAATATACTGTTTGCAGACGAATCTCGTTTTTGCCTGTATTCCTCAGATCGCCGTATGGCGATGTACAGATGATCTGGCAAGCGATATTTGCCTATCAATATTCTTCCACAAGTGAATTTTGGAGGAAGCTCTATAATGTTTTGGGGTGGCATTTCCTACACCGGACATACTGAATTGGTGGCGCTACCAGGAGCTCGTTTAACAGCTACACGGTATATTACCGATGTTTTGGAACCTCATGTTATGCCCTATGGAGCCTAATACATAGGGCTAAATTTTACATACATATATACACGATAATGCGCGGCCTCATACAGCACACATTGTGCAACGATATTCAGAAAAGGTTGAAATTCCGCTTCTACCATGGCCAGCCAGGACTCCCGACATGAACCCCATTGAACATGTATGGGATTATGTGAAACTGAGGATAAAGGAGCGCAGACTGGTTCTTGGAGATCTTAATGCCATGTAGAATGCCATCTTGCAAGAATAGGAATATCTTCCGTAAGAATACATTAGGCGTTTAATCGAGAGTATGCCTCGCCTAATGCAGGCTGTTATTAGAGCTAGAGATGGAAATATTTCGTATTAATTTGACTTTTGTTGGTGTTGAATTGTTATTAACATTTAATGGCTAACATAAAAGACCAACTTCTGGTAGTAAATTTTGTTTTTGCTCGTTTTGTCTTTATTTTACTTCACTATAAACGCTACAGTCGCCTACAGGAACATCTCTTACAGTAAATTCGCAAAATCAACGTGTTGCGTTAATTTTTTTGAGGTGTGTATAAATGCTCCTACAACTTAAGGCATAAAGTATATTTTCAGTTATAATTCACTCATTTTAATCCGCAGAGTTAAAAGAAATAATTCACTGACTCAAAATTATTTTTGAGTGTCTTGTTTATTACTAAAACTCAAAAAGAGAATCATACTTACTTTATTTCTGAAAATGTCCACATTTCTTGCAGTTTTGAAGCGACCACTTTTAATGATTTTTGATCGTATATCCAGTCGATCTTGTCATAGTAACAATCATATAAATTCAAAGGGATCTCACTCGCTAGGTGATAATCTGGTTTCCTAGAATTGAAATTAAACTGAACCATTGACAAAACAGAACTTCCACACGCATACACACATACAATAATATTAAATTAAATTTTATTGTGTCTTATTTTCCCACAATTCGTCTAAATCTTAGTGAATAATTTACTTTTATTTTTAATCAAAATGTATCTGTTTATCAACTTCAAAAAATTGATGACGTCATCTCACAATTTTGCCAAATCAATCCTATCTCAAAATGGACAAAATATGATTAATCTATACTTGTAACTTATGATTGCATTAATATTTTTTAGATTTGGTTCTACAGGTGACTCAAAAAAATTAATAAATCAGTTAATTTATTTTATTGAATAAATCAAGAATTGCAAAACTGAATAATTTGAAATCTTGCAGACGTTTTAAAGTTATTGTAAGCATAGCAAATTATTAATCAAAATATATCTGTTTATTCCCACCAAAAATTGATGACGTCATCTCAAAATTTTGCCGAATAAATTCTACCCAAAATGTCCAAAATATGATGAGTTCTTAGAAAGAAAATAAGGGTCTTAATTTGATCAATAAAAAATTGGTCCAACGCTATAAGTATAATCCGACAAATCCAGCTCTTAAAAAAAAAATTAAAAAATTTGATTTGAGTAAGTTTGTCTTCTCACAACACAGGACTAAAATTATTAATTAAACCACAGTCGGACAAACTGTTCTGAATAATATAATTCTTATTTCATCATTATTATATAAAGACCTGCGTATTCTTCACATTTTCGAGAAAATGGGATGACTCGTTCTTAATTTGACCAATAAAAAATTTGTGATAACGTCATCAACAAGTGTAATACTAGTCACAGCACAAAACAAATATGTAGTCAGCGTATTACCAATGCAAGAAAAAAAAAGCCAAGTTCGGCATCGAACCCACAATCGTAGTTCGTACGGGTTCGCCGCAGGTAGCGTTTTCGCTGATACAGCTACTGCACCACGAAGACTTATATCCTGTGTCGGTAATATAACATTATTATACCTTGCAAATGTTTTTATGAAAATTTGAACGTTTACACTATCTGTATATTTTTGTATGACATTCAAATTAGTTTAAGACACAATTCATTGAAATGACGTCATCAACTTGTTGGTGGGTATAATTAGCCAAATTTTGGTTAGCATCTACATGATATTTTTCAAAGATTACGTGTTTAATAAAAATGGATACAGACATCACACAGTTAGACAGACAGCCAGGCAGACAGACGGACGGAAATGGTAGATTACTTTTTTCGTACTGTAGGGGTCATGAAACGTCAAGAAAACAAAAGTGGCCATTCGACTTGATTACTAGTCCGGTCAAAATAGACATTTCAAATAACAAAAACTCCGACAGAGCTGAATTTTGGTAGAGACCTTGGGTACACCAGTAGAAATAAAGTGGCAAAAATCCCCATAGATCCCATGTGTGCTAAAAAAGTTATTCAAAATCAAATGTCAACATTTTTGGTTTTTTCGATTTTTCTCGAAAACGGTAAGTTTTATCAAAAATATAGTTCAGACAAAAATCATAAAATTATCTACAAAAATGATCCTTATACTTTTTTCCCTAAGAATCACCATTCCCAAGATATCGCCGTTCTAAAAGTTGAAGGAGTTGCATTCTACATGATATGCACACAAATTCCACGTATATACATAGTCAGACTCCTAATATAACTAAAAATGCCATTCATGTCTCTTACCTGTATAAAATAACTACGAACAATATAATAAATAACTACTAACAATTCTGAGAATATACACTCAAAAGAAACTCAATCCCTTAGTCAGCCTCTTCTACTATAGATTGATAAAATCATTTAATTTTTAAATCTGGAAAGGCTCAACAGCGAGCAGAAATATATTCTTCAAGCAGTTTATCTTTTTATCCAAAATGCCAAAACCATATTTTATTTTTACATGTAATAACCGGCTGCGATACTACATCAGCACTGTTCAGAAGAGGTAAAACATGAGTACTGAAATTACTTGAAAAAAGGACTTAACTGATTGCGCCAAAGTATTTGAAGAAATTGGCGCGTCTCCTCAAACGATAATCACAAAAGGAATTCGCTTTCTCCTTACGGTTTATGGAGCTCCAAAAAAATTAGTTGTTTCGACAAGTATAGATATTTAACTTAAAAAAAAAAAAACGAAACAAGAAACAAGTACAACTACCTTGTCTTCCTCCAACATGGCTTCTGCTCATCAACACTTGTATCGAGTAGGTATACTATCAAGTTCAGACATGGCTAGGCTATCAACTGAACCCCGAAGACTGGGGTTGGAAATTAACAGATTATACTTTGGAACCGATTCAAACTACACTCCCACCTGCCCCAAAAAACTCCTAAACACTATTTTTTGCAATTGCAAAAACGGTTGTTGTACTAAGTGTGGCTGTAGAAGAGTAGGGTTGTTGTGTTCACCAGCGTGCACTAATTGCCAAGGTCACTCTTGCTCGAATGTTCAATGGAATCCAACAGACGAAGATTCATGTGACATCGATGAAGAGACAACTGACTCATCTTCAGTTGAACAATTTATGAACATCCAGCAAGAAGAAGAGGAAGAAGAAGAAGAAATTGAAGAAGACATGACTGTTGAAGTCGAATTTGAAGAGTATGAATCAGATTAAAATGTTAACAGAAATTAGAACCATAGTTTAAACTATATCAATAATCATCATGCAGTAATTACAGTATTTTCCCATAAAACTCCGTCATAACAGATCGTAGGCCTACTGGGGAAACCACGTTAAAAAAAAAGCGCCAAGTACACTACATCACAGGTGGCGTGGAAATGTGTGCATATCACGTATGTAGAATGTAACTCCTTCAACTTTTAGAACGGCAATATCTTAGGAATGGTCATTCTTAGGGAAAAAAGTATAAGGACCATTTTTGTAAGTAATTTTAAGCTCTATAATTTTTGTCTGAACTATATTTTTGATAAAACTTACCGTTTTCGAGAAAAATCGAAACCAAAAAAAAATTACTTTTGACCTTGAATAACTTTTCGCACACACGGGATCTATGGGGACTTTTGACAATTTATTTCTACTTGTGTACCCAAGGTCTGTACCAAAATTCAGCTCTGTCAAAGAGTTTTTATTATTTGATCACTATTTTATGTCTATTTTGACCAGACTATACTATACTTTCGTAGCTTCCGCTCAGGAAGTAAAAATATGCTTTTTGGACTGATTCACTAACACACAAATTTTCTAAATTTCACAGTATTGTTTAAACAAGAAAAAACTTGAAGGAAAAGAGTCAGTCATAAATGGAACAGCTATAAAGTTTATACTATCATGCCTGTTATTTACATTTACCAAATAATCTTACCTTGGATTACTTGTTACATCTAAAAGTTCTAATATAATTTCAGGTTTTTCCTTATGTTGTCCAATTAAAATCAATATTCCAAATATGTAACGTATCTGATGCCACAAAAATGCATTACCAGTGACAGTCATAACATAAACTGAATCATCTGCAACCTAACAATTAGCCTTCTAACAACTCCTTTATATATTTTTACCGCTATGACACCCTTCATTAAAGCTGCTGAAATCTATTGACAAAATACACCGTACAAATTCAACAACTCCATTATTGACATCCATTTTACAAAAGTTTCTAAAATCATGTGTGCCTTCCAAATACTTAGCGGCTATGGTCATTGCTCTAACATCCAAATTTCCCTTTGGGAAGAAATATTTATATGTCCGCCTTCTGCAATCAAAACGTGCACTGAAATTATTTCCAACAGGGCACCATGCTGTAAACTGAATACTCGCAGGTAATACACTGTTCAACATTTTGCAATAGTTGAGCTCATCTTCAATGTTTTCAGATTTAGATCTCAAGTCAACAGATATAACCTGTAAATTCAGATACACCTAAATGGACATACATAGATATAAACAGAAAAAAACCTGAGAAAACGCACTAACACCTTTATCAGTGCGTCCGCAACGATGATAATTTGAAGTAGAACGATTTTTAATGAGACAGGTTTTGATTAAAGCTTTAAATATGGAATGTTCCACAGTATTGCTGGTATCTTCTTGCGTAACATAACCATCATAATCCCAGCCTAGATAAAAAAATTTCAATAAGACGTGTCGATATTTACATCTGAAAAAAACAATTTAGAATTATTTAGTAGTTATTGTATTTCTACTTTTATGTATACTTACTTATCAAAATCAAATGGTTTACTGGTCTTTCGTCGAAGTTGTTTCTTATTCGTGTCATTTTTAACTACAGTTTGCAGCAGTTGAGTGTTTTGATTTTTTAAAGATTTTATATATGCGACTAATTGCTAAAATATAATTATATTAAAATGATATAATATAATCACATTCTAATAAAAAATCATAAATGTGAGTTTAGTTTACCTCTCTAGAATAATTTTCAAATTCATCCATCCCTAATTCATGGGTAACTTGGTAGATAATAAAGTAATAAACACAATGTTAAATTAATAAAACAAAAAAGTGTTTCCCTATTCAGTACTCAGAAACACACTCAGAAGGATATTCTATTATTGACATAAATAAGAGAATATTAATATTACTATTATTGGATATTGAATAGCACAGATGCACTGACATATGATAATACCATAGAATAACATGATCTTCCCTGAGAACATGATTTCTAATATTTGTATTTTGTTCAATTTGTGCGCCTCTAGTGCGTGGCTTAGGAACTAGAAACGGTTCCAAATTTGAAAGTGGACTTCCTTGACTCAACACAAGAATTTTTTTCTGCAACTCTTTCACTTCGGTTTTAAAATGATTAATAATTTATAATAGGTGCTGCCGTTGTCGTCCTCAAAAGAATCTTTTAAATTTGTGAATAGCTAGTTAAGTGGTTAAATCATAATCATTAAATTTTCATTGATTTTCATAACTGTGTTCAACCCATGGTAGAAGGAGACATGGTATAGGCATACGCATCGGGTGTGACGTCAAGTGGGGTGAAATTAGCGCAAAATTTAAAATACATTATTTAAGTTGGAAAAATTTATTTATGATTATTCAGTTGTTGCAGTCGTATGTGTGATGTGATCGCAGAAATTAGGTTTGTGGAGAGAACTGAGCATAAATATGTCAAAAACCTCTTTTCAACACTCAAGAGATACGAACAAATTGTTATTTGCATTTGCTGATGTCCCAGATTTATCGAAATTGATACGAAACCACATTTTTGGACCATTCAACTTTTAATAATTACATTTTTATCATTATTAATTTCAATAACTTTCGTTAGCCGACAACTAATTGACGTATTGGACAGAGCAATGACAACTCAAGCTAAAATTCCCTAGACTTCCCTAGCGAAGCTCACAAGAGTCACAAGATCGTTGATGCCACCTAACGTCACAAATGGATGCGCAGACGATTTTTAAATTGGTACATCGGATGCCTTGATGCCTATATCATGTCTCCTTCTACCATGGTTCAATTCATGTTCAACCGAGTTCCCAGAAGTTCCCGAAGAAACACAAAACATTGCGTCAAAGGCAAGTTGAAGTGGATCCCAAATTACTTTTATTTATTTTTTAATATATGCCAACTAAATGTTAAAAATTGGTGGATTTTTTAATTACAAGGTTGGTAAGGGTGTTGCGCGGCAAATTATTAGTAATTTTTATGTCACTTTGTCCTTATTAAAATACTACGTCAAAATAATCGTGTGTTTTCGAAATGGCTATTTAAAGCACTTTGGAGTTAAATTCTGGTCAATTTGATTAACATTTAATTGAGTTTGCATTTGCAGTAAAAACGTCGATGGTTAAGTTTAACTTTATTGTCACACAAATACTTCTAGTACATAGGTCTAGTCAAAATTGGGAACACAAAAATTCATCTACGCTTTTAAATAATCTAATACTCATTAAATCACAATCTTTGACCACTTTTCTGACTTTATTGTGGCAAAGTACACCTATACCGGATGTCTGGAAAACAGCGGGTTAACTCTCCGCTACGCTCTTAACAATCAACTGGTGAATCTGGGAAAAATAGTAAACAAATTCCTTCTCACATTTTTGTGGAGTTATAATGATTTTAAAATTGGTTCTTTTGTTACGTGTAACAACTATGTACACAACACATTCATTATCATAGTAACTAATAATAAAACTTTTAGTTAATATTTCTCTCGCCCATGACCATGTTTAATTATCATTTCAATTAGAATGTACAAAAATATGGTTGTGTTGTTTTTGTAATAATATTGTTAGAATTCCATTTGCATAACAACGATGTTTACCTGATATAAAGGGAAGGTACAAATCAGCAAAAATCAAAACGTATCAAAAATTGTCAAAGTTTTCAAAGCCCTACGTTTCAAATGTCTCCATTTAACGAGGATGCTGATGTGTACTTGGTTTTTTAGGAATGCGAATGAAATGCCATTGTTGCCGCACCACGAGTTTATACTGAGTGTTATCGGGTAAGAAGGCATCCCACAGTAAATGAGATTAGGCAACTGGACGCAAGATTGAGGGAAACAGGCAGCTTGCTTCTTATTCCCAGTTTCATGATTGAAGTCATTCTAGGAGCAGACGTATTTCAAAGTTAGAGGAGGATGTCTTACATCTTGTGCCTGACGAAAGGACAAGAAATGCTTGGCTGAATTGGGAGTGTATCGAGATTACGAATTATGTCTGAAACTGTGTGGACTAATAACTAACTTTTACAAAAAGTGATCAAAATTTGGAAACATTACGAAGTTACTTACATGCACAAGGAAAAATTTTGAACATCTTTAGTGGATTTTTTACTTCCCGAGCGTAAGCAAAGGAAGTATTGTAATCGAGTCCGTCGGCCGACTCTCTACTTTTACGTTTTCTCGATCTTTCATGACCCCTAGAAGACGAAGAAATAGGTCTCCCATTTCCGTCCGTCTGTCCGTCCGTCTGTCCGTCCGTCTGTCCGTCTGCCGTCCAGGATTTTTATTAGACAGATAATCTCCGAAAGTACTCGACCGATTGTTATGAAATTTTGTACTTATATTAAGAATATCATGTATATGGTAAAACGCTAACCAAAATTTGTCTAATCATCCCCACCACTAATGCGATGACGTCACTTCAAAACTGTACATAGTAAATGGGTTTTCAATTGTATAAAATAACATAGTCCTACACATGTAGTTTACAACTCCGAATCGACTTTTCACCCGAAACGTCCAGATTTTTGGAAAAAAAATCAAAATTATAAAACAACATTTTGAAATTTAATTTTTAATCTGCTAACCAGAATGCTTTGAAATGTTGCAGATGTTTTAAGGCTATAAAGAGCAACATAAATCTTTAGTCAAAAAATACTTGCTTATCCCCTCCAAAAACTTGATGACGTCAGCTCAAAAGTTTGTGGAATAAATCATATCTAAAATGTACAAAATATGATGAGTCTGTACTTGTGATCTATCACTCCATTCATATTTTTTGGATTTGCATATGCAGGGTGACTCAAAAAAATTAATGAATGCGTAAATTTATTTTACTGATTTACTCAGAAACTACAAAACCGAATGCTTTGAAATCTTGCAGATGTTTTAAGGTTATAAAGAGCATAATAAATGTTTAGTCAAAATATATTTGCTTATCCCCTCCAAAAAATTGATGACGTCAGCTCGAAAGTTTGCCGAATAAATCCTATCTAAACTGTAAAAATATGATGAGTCTGTACTTGTAATTTATCATTCCATTCATATTTTTTGGATTTGCATATACAGGTGACTCAAAAAAATTAATGAATGCGTAAATATATTTTATTGATTTAATCCGAATGCTCTGAAATCTTGCAGATGTTTTAAGGTCATAAAGAGCATAATAAATGTTTAGTCAAAATATATTTGGTTATCTTCTACAAAAAACTGATGACGTCAGCTCAAAAGTTTGCCGAATAAATCGTATCTAAAATGTACAAAATATGATGAGTCTGTACTTGTGATTTATCATTCCATTCATATTTTTGGATTTGCATATGCAGGGTGACTCAAAAAAATTAATGAATGCGTGAATTTATTTTATCGATTTAATCAGGAATTACAAAACCGAATGCTTTGAAATCTTGGGAATATTTTAAAGTTATTATAAGCATGGTAAACTTTTGTTCAAAATGTATTTGTTCATCCCTCCTAAAAAAATTGATGACGTCACCCTTAAATTTTGCTGAATAAATCCTATCTAAAATGTAAACAAAGTTTGTACTTGTGATTTATCATTCCATTCATATTTTTTAGATTTTCTTAAGAGGTGGTTCAAAAAAATTAATGAAGTCAATTTATTTTATTGATTAAATTAAAGGCAACACATTATTAGTATTACACCCCAACCAACCCAATTTGGTAGACATAAAATTTGTTAAAGGAAAAACTCGGTTGAAACATAAGGGTAGCACGCTTATTTACATCGACTTTAACATTACAGACCTGCATTTGTTTTATGCGCTCACTTGGTTCCGCGAATGTAGAATAGACATGTTTATAATCAACCAATTGTGAATTTCACCGTCAAGAATTAAAATAAAACCCAATATTTTATATAATAAGCGGAAGTCGAAGCAATAAAACCGATGGTCGTTTTGTTTACAGTTTCTCTGTTTGACTCTCACGTATGCTGTTACGCTTGTCATCTTAAATTAAGAATGTTTATGCATAAACGATTTTCAGTTGCCCCTCATATTACTAGACAGCGGATTTGTGTCGGGCTACGTCACGATTATAGGGGGGGACGTGCTGGATCGCCGGGTGATAGATAATCACTAAATTTAATCGGTACTAATTCCATAAATATAATTAACGATTTATTAATCAAACGGCTAAGTAAATGAGAACGGGAATTAACAGCAGAGTGCAACGAAACAGCGTTATTCTAATCTCAAATAAACGAAGTGCAGTCCGCAACCGCAATGAATTCGCATCCCGTACGAGCCGTACCGAGTTTGGCCTTGCCTAGCCCGACAGAAATCCGCTCTCTAGATATTACACACCGGCGCCGTATACGTGAGTAAATTGTTTCGTTATTTTATTGATTATTACAAATCAATATTCAAAACGACCCAATTCATTTTCCCGAAAATTTGAGAATATAATAATTTTATTCTTAGTATTACACTACATCTATCCCAACTGATATACGTGTCCTTGCAAAAATGTTGATGACGTCATCACAATTTTTTTTTAAATTCCCACTACAAAAATGTAATGAGAAAAAAAAAACACAATAGGCATGCAGTCGTCAAGTTTCCGACAGCGAGGGAAGTACTGTCTAAACTCTTTAGACCAATTTTTCTTTTGTTGGTTTTGGTTTTGTTTATAATTTATAAATGTCTTTAATTTTCTTCGGTTTATTTATTAATGAAAAATGCTTGTTTTATTGATAACTAGCTGACCTCGTGAACTTCGTTTCACCTACAATTTAATTTTGAATCTGCAAAACCGAATGCTTTGAAATCTTGCAAATGTTTTAAACATATGATAAGCATAATAAATTTGTATTCAAAATATATTTACTTATCCCCTCCAAAAAA